GGATCGTAAGGTACCAAGATCCTGTTATGAGTTCTGCGCATACACTCTCAACAAACGCAATTAGTACCAAGGCTACAAGTGTAGCCAAAAAGAACCAATCTTTTTGAAATTTTTTTATGGTGAACTAGACTCAAGTAATCAATTAGCTATCAACAACACCGTTCCCCGGCGACGGCGCCATTTTGATGGGCGTTAGAACGGTCGTACATTCCACACTCAATCAAACACATTTATTAACAAACACCTTACAAACCAAGCATAATGACAAGTAAGAGTTCGGTCCACAAGGAACGGGATATGATTGCCAAAGATCTTTACACTTAAGCTAACTCGAAGTCAATTGGTGAATTGGGGTTCGTCAAGAAGACAAACAAACTATGGTTCTAAATCAATGAATTAAAGATACTAGGGAATGAGATCCACTCAACCAAGGCAAATAGGCAAACGGGGAGTAAAATAGACAAGATATAGCAAGGACTATATGTAAAATCAACCTCATGCAATTAGAAAACAACTCACACTACTAAACTTAGATTCCTCATTAGTTTAGCAATAGATGATACATAATCAAATTACAATAAGTAATGACGTACTCAATTTACACTTCCATGTCAAATTAGGCATATCATACTATCAAGCTCCTTAGTCAAGGGTAGCTAAACCTATCATGAGGAACTAACAAGCAATCTCATATAATCAATTTAATTGCAATACAAACATCAATGCTTCTCCCACATTTGCATAGTTAACCCAAAAGGTCGAGCTTCACCCAACCCCTAGCAAGAAGACTACTCACAACTCATGTTTATCAACATGCAATCAAGAATTAGGGTTCTAAATACTTCAATAATTGAGGAAAAGTGGTTAACAATTGAAATAACTATCATCCAATAACAAATTACCAAGAACTAAGAAGATTTAAATAACATGCAAATACCAAATAAAATATGAAGTTAAAAGGAAAAAGGTTGGAGAAATTACTAATTGAAGCTTCAAATGTTGAATACAAATTGCCAAACTTTGAGAATAATTCTTGAATTTCACTAATACAATGATTTGATTTGATGAAAACTAAGCTAAATTAATCCTAAGGAATGTTTCAAACTAAGAGAGGTTTCTGAAAACTAGGCTACTGTCTTTTTTCTTTTCTTTCAAAAATGATCTCGAAAGGACCTTAAATAGTCCGTACAAAATTGGCTGAGATCGGGAAAAGGTCCGACCGAACTCTGGGTAGGTTCGGTCGGACTCAGGGTAGGTTCGGTCGAACCCTATGTAGGTTTGGTCGAACCTCCCTGATCCTTGTTTGGTCGAACTTTTGAGGTTCGACCTCTCCTGCAAAATTGCTGAAAACTGGTTTGACACTGCCTTCACTGCACCCTGGAGGTTCGGTCAAACTTTTCAAAAGTTTGACCACACCAAGGTTCGACCGGACCTTTCAGAGGTTCGGCCACACCTCCTCTTGCACTTCCTTTTCTTGCTTCCTCTCCTTCCCTTTTGCTCCTCTTGCCTTTGTCCATGGCTTCCATACTTGGCCAAGGGGCCTCCCACCGTGCATAGGACCGTCATGGAACCTGCAGAAGATACCAAAGTTCACGAGAGCATGGGGATGATAAAATAATGCATAAAGATTATCAAAATAAGCGCAAATAAGCATTACTTTTCATCAACACAAAAAGAAGCCATAAGAGGATAATGAGGTGGAAAAACCTAAGAAAAATAAGAGGAAAAAGACCTAAATACTACCCCTAAGAGTGACATAAATGTCACTCATCACCTTTTCTTTTTTGGGTAAACTAAAATACAATATCTCTTTTTATTTAAAGGTTATACTTTTTGACATTATTACCCCTTTTTTTGATGAATTGTCATCTTTTTTTTTTTTTTTTTTTTTAACATCAATTTTCAACACTTTCACAATCTATCTCTTCAATCATTCCCAATTACTTTTTCTTTCTCTCTTTCTCTCTTTAACCCCACATGCATATATGTACTTCTAATAATTAGTTTTAAGTAATTTATAACTTTCTAAATTACCGCGTAAAAATCGCATTGTATTGGAGTATTAAAATGCGGTCAAATTTTAGTCAAATTAACAAATCAGATCATACCAATTCAGATAGTAAAAATTCAGATCCTACCAGATTAGACCTTATTAAAATTAGACCAAATCTCCTTTTTCAGGTGAAGAGAACAAGTCCTTTGTTTGGTCCGTGCTCCAAACTTCATCCCAGGAGCCTAGGAGGTATTTAGAAAGGAAAATTGCCAGATTGATAATGAAAATAAGAATAATTTTTATTTATTTTTTTTTCTTACTACTATTAAACTGTTTTCTATAAGTATTAAACTTTACTATCTTGAGATTTAAAAGTTTAACTTTTATTTATTTCTTTATTTTCCTTTCGGTGCCCATTTGTTTTGGTTATTGATTTTGGAGTCGTGTATTAATGCTCACTTTTAAGAATCGGGTTTTTTTCAACTAAATACTCCGTATAGGATAAATTGCTAATTTCCGTGAAAAAAAAAGCTAGTTTATCATTTTATGTAATTTATTATTTAAAAAAATTTACAATTTCTTACATACATCATGAACATAGCTTATAAATGTAATCAACATCACGAACACAGTAATTTGTGAAATAATTTTAAAAAAAGTAAAAGATAATTACTAATTGATTTTTATCACGTATTTAATGTCAATTCATTTCAAAATATTCAGTATTCAAGAATTTCTTTATCTAAAATAATTTTTTTTATAAAATAATTCAAGGTTTCATTTTCAAATTTCCAAATTTCCAAAATTCAAAATTCAAAACTTCATTTTCAAAATTTTAGTTTTCAAATGAACATAGGAGAACATATTATTCAAGTAAAAATAACATATTTCGTATTATTAAAATCCAAAGACATTTTAAATCTACATACTTTAAAGAATATAATTTATAATGTAAAAAACATATAAAATCCAAAGACATTTTTAATCTACCTACTTAAAAGAACATAATTTGTAAACTGAAGAACATATTGTTCAAAAAACGTGATCAAACTCAAACAACATATTTCGTTCCAATTATGAATATGGATACAAGAAATGGTACAATAACATTCATCATAATTTAAGGAACATCTTCTTCAACTTCATAAAAAAAAAATAAAAAAAAATTGAAAAATACCTTTTCTCTCAACAACGAATTCGTCAAGTACATTTTTCTATTGAAAGATTCATTTGAACAACTTCGTAATAATATTGAATCACTTCGAAATTCAAAATTTCATTGTTTCTCTATCTGTATAAAATCAATTTTTCTCTCTATACAAAGAAATGAAATTCCGTTAACCAACAATATTCTATTAATATGAATGTAAATAATAAATCAATTTCTTAAATTAAGGAATATAAATAACGAGCCCTTTTCCAACATAATGTTGGGAAAAGACCTAATTCCATATATACAATCACTTTTTATTAAATTCCCACATTACCGTCCACGTCACCGGTTCGAGTAAGATTTTTATTTTTACGGTTTTTACAGAAAACCGCTACTTCAAGTAGTGGGTTTCTTATGTTAACCGCTACTTCAAGTAGCAGTTATCTCTCACTTACACCGCTACTTGAAGTGGCGGCTTCCTTTTCAGAATACCCAAAAACAATTCTTTTGAACATAACACAAAAAAACAGAGCGGGCTAACCAAATATGGTCCTCTCCTCTGCTTAGCGTCGTAACCTTTTCGGAGCGTCGAACCTCCCTCGTAGCTGCTCTGAGTCGTCGGAAATAACTTGGTGGAGGCTACTCCATCGGCTCCATTACTTGAAACTCCCTCGGTGCTGCTCTTTGTTGCCCTAATTTCTTTTTTTCCCAAATCACTTGTTAATTATAATGTTATTATAATTAAATTGATATCAATTCACCTAAATTTTATAATAATATCAATTCCTAAATGATTTTTTGTTTATTAACCAACCGAAGCATATGTATTTGAACACATGCAAGTACAACAAATTTGTGTTCAGCCTTTTTAATTATTTATTTGGTGAGCCAATTATACTATTTTTATATAAAAAAAAAATGGCCATTGATTTGTGGAGTGGATTGAAGAAAGTGGTTGATCTCATTGAAGCTTGCATTGGTTGATGTTCAAAGTATTTATATGGCTGATTGAGGAACTGATTTCTGCAACAGAAAATCGCTACTTCAAGTAGCGGTTTCCAGTTATAGAAACCGCTACTTCAAGTGGTGGTTTCTTGTTATAGCAACGGCTACTTGAATAGCGGTTTTCAAATGAACCGGCAAAAAAAAAAGAAAATCGGTTTTCTCTTATATGCTTATGTGGACGGTAATGTGGGAATTAAATAAAAAGAGACTGTATATATGGAATTGAGTTTTTTGCTAGCATTATTTTGAGAAAGGGCTCATAAATAACAAATCAATATTTTAAATCAAGGAAGAAATCATTTTGAACTTTTTTTTTACTTGTGAACTTTATATTAGTATACAATGATATTTTCATGTTTTTTTTACAAGCTTTGTATTTGATTGGGTGTATGATGAAATTTTCATGTCATTAGCTCGTTTGACTTAGAATTAAGTATCTTATCAACATTTATAATAAAGGCAAATATATGAATAGTTTAAATGGCAATCCTAATTGAATAAACCATAATAGAGGCTACTCTGATTATTATAAGCATTATGACGCCAAAACAGAATTATTAAATCGTGGGGTAAACATAATTATACTCAAAATCACTTATTGATATTGACTCGATCCAATAATCTATGTTTTAAAAAGGACATAACTCGAATTTTAAAAGAGAAAATATAAGTTTATTTCCGTGTTATCATGGAGATAAAAGTGTAATTTTTGAGGTGAAAATGGGTAAAACCGCTACTTCTACGTGATGAACAAAAATTGTTTATCACAAAGATTAATTGAGGCAGCCTCATTTTAAAACAACCCGATTGCCATATATAAGCTGGATAGTTGAAGGCCCGAGAAGGAAATAACTCATGTGAACTCCAAGCAATAGAGAGGAAAGGGAGAATAGAGTGAATAGGGCTTGGGAGGCGTAAAAAACGCGATATGGTTAGGTTGTGAATCTGCGAGTGGGAGGGGAGTTAAAATACAGTAAGGAGGGTGATAACTGATAAGAGTGTCCCAAAACCCTAATTCATCTTCTCCCTCCTCTTACAACAAACAATACAATACAATACCCAGTTTCTTAGAATGTCATTGCCTTTTTCGGATCTATAATTTTTGGGTTTACTCAAATACAATCATTGTATATAAATATATAAAAAATAAAATATATTTTGACGAGATAGAAGAGTAAGTGCAGGAGTGAGACGAAGACGATAAGGCGCACGGGGCCTCGATCTTGACGACGGAGGGCGTGTGAGTGATTGATTGAGTGAGTGATTGATTTGATTTGATTGAGGGATGGAGAATAACTCAGGAGGCGGAGGCGGAGGCGGGAATGACGTAGAGCTCCTGTGCAAGACGCTGCAGGTGGAACACAAGCTATTTTACTTCGATCTAAAGGAGAATCCAAGAGGTCGATACCTTAAGATTTCTGAGAAAACCTCTGCTACTAGGTCTACCATCATCGTCCCTTCTAATGGAATTTCCTGGTTTTTGGATCTCTTTAATTACTATGTTAATTCTGAGGACCAGGATATTTTTAGCAAGGAGTTGCAGCTTGATGCTAAGGTACTTTCTTATCTTCCTCCAATCTCAACACCCTCTACCTCCCTATCATTCTAATTCTTTTTCTATTTTCCTGCAGGTCTTTTACTTCGATGTTGGCGAAAACCGAAGGGGCCGCTTTTTGAAGGTATTTTACCTTTTTACTTCTCTCTTCTCATCTTGCTTCTTTCTGCCAACTTATGTTTACTACTACTCCATCATTGTTTTAATTACTTGTATACTACCTTTTTCCATGATAAACTCAATTTTAGATTATAAAGCAATTTACTCTGAATTTCAGATTAAAACTTACAACCATCAAACTCTCACAACATTTACCCCAAATCCTACTCTATTTAACAAAAATTACCACCTCTACACTAACTGCCCTTTCATCTCCTCCTTTTAATACTGATTACATCATTTCCATCCACTTTCGGCCTCATCACCATGCCTGGTTATTCTCTATTGTTGTTGGTGCATCGCTTATACTTTCTTAGAGGACGCATTTCTTGCCGTCTTGAACCTTGAAAACAACACCACTGCAATCATCATCGAGGTTGTTTCAGATGCTGGCCCTGATAACACCTCCCTACGGACTGCCAGAGCACTGTGGCTTCCCATAAATGATCATTTCTGCCGCTATTAGTTCAAGCCCGGCTAAGAGATAGAGGGTGAGAGCATTTTCCACGCAGAGAATGGGTATCCCTTATAAAACAGGGCAATATATTGGGTTGAAAAATAAGCTTTCCATTCTGATATTCTGTGAAATTGAGAAAACTGTTTTTCTGACATCTTACATCTAACCAAGCAAAGCCTTAATCATACTTCCTTCGGTTCTTAATACATGCAATTTTTTTTGACTTTTTTCATTTTATATACTAACTTTGACTGAGTATAATTACTAATATACATCGTTTAACAATTGTCATTACTTAGTTGTTATTGGGTTATTCTCAATGTATTTTACGAAGTATAAAAAAAATCAGCAGCATATAGTTATAAATATTAATGCAAGTGTGTGTTGCCGATCGTGAAAGTCAAAATGATTCATGTACTAAAAATGGAGGAAGTAGTTAACTTTACCATTTACATTTACTTAAAATTTTCAGCATTTTTTGTTCCATTTTTGGTGTGGTTATGTCTTAATTTATTGCAAATTTGTAGGGGATGCCTATGGCGTTGTTTCCACCCAGCAAATTTGCTTGGCACCTAATGGAATATATAAGCCATATCAGCATGGGACATGCGTAGTCTGATTAGTCTCCTTTTGGTTTGACTTAAAATGAGTTTTAATAAAAAACATTATGAATGGAAAAGGACAATTGTAGTTTGTTTTTCTTCACCTAGTTTGCCAGAAATGTGTAAGAGAAGAAAAATGAAGTTGGAAGGGGGAGGGATAAGTTGGGAGTGAAAAAGAGGAGGGTATGGAGGATAATTGCCGTCCTTTCCTTAGTTGAAAAAGGAAATTATTTTCCACCTTTTGGAAAACTAATTACTAATTGCCTCCTTTGTTTTCCACCCTTTACAGCCCAAACAAAAGAAATGAGAAGTCACTTTTCTTGTAAACTCATTTTTGTTTTCCCAACCAAACACTCTTAAGGTCTCATTTACATCTCCACTTTTGTATTATGTGTAATCTAATGGTGTTCAAGATGAAAACTTGTTATATTTTATGCACCAAAATTTTAAACAGTGTGTTAGTATTTGATTGGATTGTTTCTTCGAGTTGGTTTATTACAGCTTGGTTTGGTGATGAAAGGAAAAGACGGGAAGGGAAATAAAAGAAGAAAGCAGAAACAAAGTCAGGGGAGTAGAGTTCTAAGTGCTTCCAGTTCTCATTGCTTATGAACTTTTTTGCATATATTGGAGACATTATGAGGAATTGGGGGTGATTGGGAAAAGTAGGAGGGTGTTTTGGGAAACTTTTGTTCAACTGTTTTAAATATTTTTTTTCAAATCTGATTTGAATCTGGACTTACTCATATTCCTTGTTGCTTGGATTATTGGTAGGTCTCCTTTGTTTTAATTAGCCAATTATAGAGGAACTAGAAACCATCCAAATCCAGCTACATTGGGAGAGAAGGAAAGTAAAATTTTTGAAGTCTTTTCTGTTGTACGGTCGTACCTTTCCTACCTTGACGCCAAATTATTGAAACATAGCTGATTTTTTTTGTTTTTTTTTCTTTTTCCATCCAATTTGTATGCCAAACAAACTGCAAGTGTTTAGTTAATAAAATTAAGTTTTATTATTGTTGCAGGTTTCTGAAGCTTCCATGAGCAGAAACCGTAGTACTATCATCATTCCTGCTGGAAGCACCAGAGATGAAGGCTGGGCTGCATTTCGTAACATCTTGGCTGAGATTAATGAAGCTCTTAGGCTATTTGTCATGTCCAATCAGGTTTTTTTTTCTTAAATTGATATCTTCTAGTTCTCTTGAGTATTTTTATTCTCTTGCTAATTTATCTGTCCAACTACAGCAAAATTCTGAAGCTTCTGAACGTCTTGTTGGGCTCTCTGATGATGTTGGTGCTGGCTTTATTGCGGGCCACAGCACTCAATCTACACCTGCAACAGAAATAACGGTGGACAGGTCTGCTGACCTACCTGCTCAGGACGAAATTAGCGGCAACCTGGGAACTTCTAAAGTTATCAGAGTTGACCAGAAGAGATTTTTCTTCGACCTTGGTAGCAACAACAGGGGGCACTTTTTGAGGATATCTGAGGTAATGTACAGCTTAGTTTCTTTTGGTCTTAATCACATGTCATGTATCATCCTCTGAACCCTTGGAATTGGTAATATAATGCAGGTAGCTGGTCCTGACCGTTCATCCATCATTCTTCCATTGTCTGGACTAAAACAGTTTTATGAAATGGTGGCACATTTTATGGAGATCAGTAAAGACAGAATTGAAGGAATGGCAAGTGCAAACGTCCGGACGGTAGATCCTCCTCAAAGATAAATGCTCGTCTCAAGAGTGTGTTTATTTGTTTGGGTCTCAGAATGTCAATGCTCCTTAGCACTCTCGATTGCAATTAGTGATCAAGTAGTGGTGACTTTATATTCAGATGTTCTGTTACATTTTAATCTTTGTTTTCACTGCTGTATTTGATCCGGACAGTAATATTTGTTCAACTGCTGCACTAAGGGAAGAAAGTTGGTTTTTATTGGCAAGGTAAATTTATACTCTTATTGGGAATAATAAACATCCGTGTACTTCATGTATGTGAGCTGTAATTTGCAATTGCAAGTATGGAACTTTCCGGTAAAGCTCTATTTGACTTCTGTCGTGTGTACTGTGTTGTCTGTGTAGTGATAATTTGAAGTATTGTCATTTTTAGGTGTTGGCTGTGAGTTAAAAATCCTAGACCTTTGGTCTTATGTCTGTAGACCGTTTGCGAGGGAATTTACTAATGGGTATTTTTTTTTTTTTTATGTATTTGCCGACGTAGGCTAAATCTTTCCTTGAGAATGTCTTCACGCTAAAACGCTATACACACATCATTTGTGATGCTGGGAATAAACGTAATTTAATTACGAATCTTTTGGAGTAGGGGAGCTGCAATGTGTGTGATGTGTATTTTTGACGGTTTATATTCAATGGAAGGATTTGAGTGATTTTAATGGTGGAAATTTGAAAGATAGTCTTAGAAGGCAACGACTTGTAAGTTTGATTTTAGGAGCAACGATCCCAAAACCCTAGTTAACAACTAGTTTGAACCTTAACAAAGTTCTCTTCAAGCAAAAGCGCACTAATCTCAAATTATAATTCATAAAACATCTTTCCAAAATAATTGACATACAACTAGTATATATAGGAAAAATAAATCTATCCTACTTGTCCTGCAAGCAAACTAAATAAAAAACCCTAATAATTAATTAATGAATCAAGAGAGCCCACTAATTAATTAACACAACTTTGGAAGTCCAAGGCCCCATAACTACTACTAAGAAAATAATTAAAACATTATTAAAAACTCACTTGTAAAACCCCTACTTTAAGAGTAAGGTAAAACCAAGAGAGTACCTAAATAAAGCAATAAAAATAGTTATAAGGAAGGGGACTCGATTCACATCATTCCCTCCCTCTTAAAAAAACTTGCCCTCAAGTTTCGTTCGAAAGACAAGGTACCAAGTCACTAGCCCTCATAGTAGCGCAAATTCCCGCTCCAAGAAGTACTTGAAAAGTATCATAATTCTCCCTATGCACAATCTTGAAAGGTCCTTCCTCTAATGGTTCATTCTTACCTCTAGAATTATTAAAGATTTTTTGAGCATTTAAAGATAATAAAATATAGTCGTCAATCTCAAAAGGGTGTTGGTTTCTCAATGACAACATATTAGCCCTTCTTTCCTTTTTGTCAAGTTTAGGCATAATCAACAATTCTCTAGCAGGAGCTTGAATAGGTGGCGCCTTAGGGGGTAAAGGATGTAATTGGACTCTCTTATCCCCAACCTTCACTGAATAAACATTTGTAACACCATTAAATAATACCCCTCGATCATATTGCCAAGGACGACCCAAGAGTATAGAAAAAGCAGTCATAGGTAAAATGTCACACCACACACTATCAGAATATGAACCCATGGAAAAGTTCACCAAAGCTTGCCTTTTAACTTGTAGTCCATCTCCATCATGTAACCAATTAAGCTTGTAAGGAGTAGGATGGTCCCTAGTAGCAAGATTCATAGTGTCAACCAACTTAATAGATGCAACATTAGTACACGATCCCGTATCTATAATCAACGAGCAACTCCTATCACCTACTTTGCATATAGTATGGAACAAATTTTCCCTTTGCTCATGTGTAGTAGGAGGAACAAAATCAGCATGCAAAACTCTCCTTAAGATACCGATATGGTGATGTTCAGGTTCAGGAGTAATCTTTTCTTGACCCTCAAACTCTTCAAAATCAAACTCTTCCTCTGTATTGAGCAAACATGTACTCTCCTTCTCTTTCTCTTCTTGGTCAAGATAAGCCAACAACATTCTATGTTCCTTTTTGGATACCGTCACTTTGTTACCACAATCTCTAGCAATGTGTCCCATGCCTTGGCACTTGAAACAAACTTTTTTTGCCAATGCAACTTGTTTGGGAGTAACAACAATCATCTTCCCTTCATTGTTTGAATTGTTAGAGTTGATATTCGAACCCTCACCATTAAAGAATGACTTCCTCTCCTTGAAATAGGAATTTTTTTTTTCTTTCTCCTGTTTCTCAAATCTCTCTGCCAATCTTAAGACATCATCAAAGAACACATAATTTGATGTTTCCACCTTGTGAGAAATCGAAGGTGTCAACCCTTTTATGTATCGTCCAATCTTCATCTCCTCTTTTTCGTGCAAATCACAAAGCATGCACAATTTCTCAAACTCTTTAGTGTATTCGGCAACACTAAGACTCTTTTGTTCAAGATGATTCAACTTCAAGAATTGATCTTGGATAAATTCCCGTGGTAGGAACCATTTCCTTAATTGTCTCTTCAACTCACTCTAAGTATTAATTCGTGACTCATCTTCTCTCAATCTCTTGGCACGTAAATTCTCAAACCATAGAGAAGCATATCTCGTAAGTTTTAGGTTTGCAACCTTGTAGGCTTTTTGCTCATCAAAACCTTTATGGTCAAAGACCTTTTCCATCTGACGAACCCAATCTAAAAAGTCTTTGGCATCCCCATCACCTGTAAATTCCGGAAGTTCCAACAACTTCAAATCTCGATCATTGTCAATTGGAAAATTTCTCATGATTCCCCTAGGTTGTTCGTTGTTGATTATTCTTCCTTCCCCAACCACTTGAGTAGACAAAGTTTCAACCCTTTGATTGGTTTGAGCAATTTCTTGTGTACTCTTCTCAATTTTCTCATTCATTCGTTTAAGACTCGTATTAAAAATTTTCATCACATCAACAAGCATAGTATCAAGATCCTCCTTTGTCAAAGTACTCATAATATCGTAAATATTCAGAAAATTAATTACAAGCCTCAAGTTTTCTCGTCAACAAATAAGACTAGTGTCCACAAATATTATGCTAACCAAGAATCCAACCACGCGTTAACGAGAACCATAACGTTAACAATTATACGATAACAATTAATTGAATTCCCAAACTCTGGATACTTTTTGCTCCACAAACTTAATAAAGACACACGTATCTAGCAATGTATCAAGCAATGTAGTGTAATCACAAAGCAAATCAATGATGACACAACTTATTCCTAAAATTAGTTCAATAGTTTGGCAGCAAATCCACTAACTCACCCAGCAAATTTAGAGCACCAACCAACAAATAAAATAGCAACTACGAGTACCTTTCGTACAGCAAAACCGAATTGTGCAATTTATCCAATTGGAGAGTACGAACAATTTTTTTTCAATCAACAAGATCGATTGTGCATGTAAGTCGAGAGGACTCACAAACCTAGCTCTGATACCAATATGATGCGTATTTTTGACGGTTTATATTTAATGGAAGGATTTGAGTGATTTTAATGGTGGAAATTTGAAAGATAGTCTTAGAAGGCAACGACTTCTAAGTTTGATTTTAGGAGCAACGATCCCAAAACCCTAGTTAACAACTAGTTTGAACCTTAACAAAGTTCTCTTCAAGCAAAAGCTCACTAATCTCAAATTATAATTTATAAAACATCTTTCCAAAATAATTGACATACAACTAGTATATATAGGAAAAATAAATCTATCCTACTTGCCCTACAAGCAAACTAAATAAAAAACCCTAATAATTAATTAATGAACCAAGAGAGCCCACTAATTAATTAACACAACTTTGGAAGCCCAAGGCCCCATAACTACTACTAAGAAAATAATTAAAACATTATTAAAAACTCACTTGTAAAACCTCTACTTTAAGAGTTAGGTAAAACCAAGAGAGTACCTAAATAAAGCAATAAAAATAGTTATAAGGAAGAGGACTCGATTCACATCAATGTGGTCAAGGCATCAGTCTTACTTGGAAGTTTCCCTGATGAGGGTGGTTAGTGGGGGTAGTGGTTATGGATGGGGGAAATTAGAGATTTTACTTGCTAGGGGTGAGAATTGAATCCATCTCACAAGTGTGGAAAGAGAAAATCACTAGGTCCAATGTGATTCTTGTTATGGTGGTAGTCTAAGTTACGGTATAATTTGTAATTACACTAATGACTTTTTTTTAAGAAGATATTAATAAATCTTAGTTAGGTCCATTTATTACTAAAGGGGTAGACTTATGACTTATTTGGTACATTATTCTTGTTGGAAATGAAAAATTATACTTTCTCTGTTCTTTTATACTTGACTTGTTTCTTTTATTACACTTGCTAATGCAAAACTTTAATAATCAATAACTTTAATTCTCCACAAGTAAAATTATAAAAGTTATATATTATGATAGTACTTATTGAGAAGAATTCAAAAAGATCCCATTTGAATATGTTTTTCCCTATATATTATTCACAAAAGACGATCAAAGAAGGGGTGGTGAATAGTATAAAAGTCAAAGCGGGTTAAGTAAAAAAGAACGGAGGAAGTATGTAAGATGACTAAGATCCTTATCAATATCAATATATATTATTATTATATATATTAAAACTCAATGGCAAAGATTATAATCTTACCACGTGTTGCCAATCTCGCCATGTCACCTACTATTACCGATCGCTAATGTTTCCACACAAAAAAATTATAATTTGTTACCACTAATATTTGAACTCATGACCTCATATTATTAAAGTTAAACTTTAACCACCACTCCAATGACACATCTTATGATAATAAAGTTGTATTAAAAAGAGTTATTCGTGTTCATAAATTCTAAAATTTTAATTATCAACTTATATGTGTATAAAGTTGCAACAATATTATTATAAAATGAATTTCACTTCTTTCAGCTACTCAACCTTAATTCATATAGGTTATCAATATTTAAACTATGTTACCCAAAAATGCATAGCGATTTTAAAGGTTTGTTCTCTTAACAACAAAATATGTTTACTTGAAGGAATTTTTTATGATATATAGTTGAAGAATAAAAAATCCCTTTAACAAATAAAACAAATATATACGATATAACATTTAGGTTACTTCATATTAAACAATGAATTTTGATGTTCAATTATATTTACAAAAATTAACAAATGAATTTTTTTTAAAAACCACCAATATATTTCACTTTATTTTGTTATAATATTTTATATACAAACAATGATCAGAGGCATCGCCCGGCCAAAAACTAGTTTAATCCAAAATCATTTATTTTTCCTTGCAAACTTTTATTACAATCCTTTATCATACTAAGGGATGGCATTGGGTCATTACAGCTAACAATGGGTCATGTCATACAAGGAACAAGCCTCTCATGCCGCGCCCATGACCTACCTATATGCCCTCTCATGCCACGCCAGATTTACAATTTGTTCATGTTGTGTTGAGCAAATTTT